AGCTGCCCAATTTCCCTGCCCAGTGCTGTTGAATATTGCCTGGTGATGAAGTGCCTCTCCCTGAGAGCTCCAATGGCAGGACAAGTCATTTCATCTTTGTCCAAATAATGGTGTGTTTTGTTTTAGGTGATATCTGGCTTCTGAGGCCAATAAATGCCTTTTCTGGCGGATGGATGTTTTATGTGAGGCTGTGTATTCCCTTTGAGTTATGTGGTATTATCAAAGAAAAACAGAAAAGTGTATATTTTCCAAAGGTTTGTAATTGTTTTCATCTTTTTTTATATTTCTGCTTCACCTTTTGAGCACTATAAACTGCGATGCTCTTCTTTCAGCAAAGGTTGAAGGGATCTGTTTCATTTTTAAAGTGGTTTATTTCTTATTTCCTATCGGAGCAGGGAATCAAATGGGGCTGTTAGGGAATGTTTTTCCTCGTGGCATTCATTGCCTTTGAGCTCCCCATGAGATGAGTGGGCTTGAGGAGTGAAGGATCCTAAAACACAGGATCCTGTGTGCCTGCAGGCAGAGAACCCTGATTACCCTGATTGCGTGTGGGTTCATTAGGGATCTCCTGGAGAAGGAACATCAAAGCCATGGAGTGTCACTGGTTGAAACTCGTGTCTTAAAAATACAATTTTGCACAGGTCTTACCTGGCTTGATCAATATCTGGCATCTTTAATATCTGCCTTTTCAAAGACATTTACTCCAAGTTCACCACTGTGCCTTTGGGAGTAGGAAATAACCTTGTGCACATTTCTGGCCAGTCCAGGTCCCCACTGAAATTCTAAGCACTTGTGCCAGCTTGGAGAAGAAGGAATCCTTGGCCAGTTTGAGAAGGTGACCTTGGTTTTCTTCTTGACATGTTCCTCTTATTTTTTTTAATTTAATTTTTAAAATTTTATTGATTCTATTATTATTTTCATATTCATTTTATTATTATTATTAATTTTTATTTTTTATTTTATGTATTTCCCATTTAAGATGGGAAATAAAAAAGCTGTATACCTGGAGCTGCAGATTCTCTTAAGAGTGTGACGGTGTGGGACAGCCACTAAAATTCTTTGTGGGAGAAATGTTCTGAGCTTTAAAAAAACTGAATATGTATGTTCATAATGGACTGTCCAAGAAAGTGTATGGAAGTGGCAGGATTTCACTGCAAATTCTTTAAGTTTTCTGTGTTTGCCTTTGTTATTTGAGTCATTTGAGGTGTTACACATGTGAGTAACAGCACCAATATAGTCCGACCCACTTGTTCCAATCATTCTTGTGCTTGCCAATTTTCCTAGGTCAGATTTGGCTCAGTTTTATGTGTACAATGTGGTTTGGTTTCATTTGCTGTAATCTATAACTTGCAGATGAATATTTTAATTTGTCCTTGGGAAATAAAGCAGGACAGTGGATTCTGAGACACAAAACCTGTGGGATAAAGCCCTGCAGAACCGGGGTGCTCACTCGTGTTATCTGGCAAGGGGCTTGTGCTGTCTGTCAGTGGGCATGAAAAACAAGAGCAAAAGGAGATAACTGTTGGGTAAAACAGAGGAGTTGGTGATTTACAGGAAAATCCCAAAAATCCTCATGGCCTGCTTTCAAATCCACTGTGAGATACCTGCAACTTTGGCTTTTCGCTATCCACAGCCCCCAGATACAATGTGAAATGAGATTTCAAGGCGTGGAAACTGAGTTTGGTTTAAAATCAATTAGCAGCTGTTCTCTCTGTTGGGTTTTCTACTTCCTTTTTCCCTGTTCTAAATCCCAATTTGTGTACTCTGAGGGCAGCACTGCTCAGAGCACTGTTTCAGACATCTCTATTAGCTGGGAAATGCTATTGATTGTGTTTTTCTCTAAAGCATCCTGCACTCTGGGCTCAGGTTTCTCACTGGCAATGAGCTCTACGTGCTCTGCAGTGTTGCAGCACCAGATCTTGGTCAAACACTTGTTTTGTAACGTCACAAGAACAGTGGAAAATTAAATGTTTGTTACAGAGTGAGGCAATACCATTGTTCATGTTGTAGCGGGATGAGTCAATGTGATCTGATTCTGATGAAGACTTATGGAGTCTAAAAATAACTCCTCCCCAGAGCAGGAAAATATGTGAAAATATACAGTCTATCCCTTAAATCCTGAGCATTAAGTTAAATTAATAGGAGAACTTGTAGAGTGCATGATTGAATCCATGAGGGATGTAGTGTGATAGTGTATATTTGCCTAAAAGCTCGCTCTGACAGCAAAAACAATGTACCACAGTATGTTTCTTTCTTATCTAATGGAAAGAATAACACACAGAGGCTCAGTTCTTGTAATGAAAACCCCCACATTAATTTTATTTTTTGATGTGTCATTGTAATTCAAGAGATGTTTTTAATCTCAGGATTGCTAGGGCACAATAAACCATTTAAAAAGTATTTGGCAAAGATCCCTGTGCTTAGCAACAGCTCCTTTCATTTAAAACTGTTTTTTGAACCAAGCTATTCAAAGCTTTGTTCCACTTATTAAAATAAAGTATCTTACTTCAAACAAGTGTTTCAGAAAACATAATCAAGAGGAGAGCATTCAAATACAAATACAATGCACAGAAAACATAAAAGGTAGCAGCATGAAAAACTCCAGGACTTTGTGTGTTTCCTTGTTTTTCATTAAGAAAAAACTGTGTAAAAAATATACTCACTACCTTATTTCTCTTTGTGTCTTTATGGGATAGTTAATGTTACATTTCTTACCACGTTATGAAATTCCTTGCTAGATTTAAAGTAAAATTTAAAAGCTGTGCAGTATTTAATGAATGAAATATTGCATTAGTGATGTGTTTTCCAGTCACCTAGGTGACATAAGACAGCAAGAGAGGAGCTAAATATAGAATAAAATCTATTTTTGCTGTTGGCTTTGTGCTCTGCTGTGAACCACAGTGTCAATTCATGGCACAGTGTCACCGTGGAAGCTTTTCCCAGTAAGGTGAAGACAGGCTGAGCTTCATTATGTAACTTCACATTAAGAATTTATTTCAGATTTTCATTAATGTCATTTTGGTTCAGCTCTGCCTGAAGTTTGTTTGCTTTGGATGGCAGAGGCATTGCCAAGGCAGTGACGGCTCCAGGAGCACCAATGCAGTTTTCCTCCACAGGTGAAGGGATCCTGCTCATTCCTTTGTTTTTCCTTGTTCACCTGCACACTTTAGAAAGCAGGGATGGATTCATCATGCCAGAATTGTCTTCTCTGAAGAGATTGCAAAGCACATTTTGTGGATGCCAGATGCTTCTCCTGGTCCTGAGTGCTCAGTTCTCTCTGAAGTTTAGGGAGGTTGAGGTGAGGATGAACGAGGACTGAGCATAAAGAATAATCTTGTCCTACAGATTTTGCTGGTTTTAAATTTTGTTTTATTTAGAAAAGAGAACCCCAGACCTGAAAAATTCCCCACCAACAGAAGGGCCTGGATCTGTGGCTCTGGCTCCAGCTCTGACCTCATTCCTCAGGCTGTGGCTGTAGGGTTACAAACACAGCCAACAAAACTCCTACCCCTCCATGGGTTCACAGAAAACTATCCTGACCATTGTGGATATAACTGATGAAATTGTCATAATCCACCAGAATTTTGGGGGTAAAATCTGAAAAGGAGTTTTGAACAATGGTAACTCTGCATAGATCATGCTGTATAACTTTTTCAAGATGGCAGTGACTGTAAAATCAATGCAATTTTTGATCTCACGTTGTGTGGGCAGAAAAATGGTTATTTCCAAGATGTTAAAAAGCTAATCTATTCTGTTAAGTTTTTGTATCTTGCATAGATATAGCTGATTTCTTTTTTTTTTCTTTTAATTTTACAAACCAAGTTGGGAGCCTTGACATTTATTGGGCCCCCATATTTTTCATTTATATTCTCTCTAGTCTTCACCATCTGTTATGACAGTAAATAAGTTTCAAATAAGCCATATCTTCCTCAGCATGAGTTGCTTTTTCTGCAAAAAAAAAATTAAAGTTGCAGTTGGATGTGATATTTGAAGTCACAGCTTGTCTTCAAATATTTAGTAGCGTATTCCTGTGCCAAGGGATATCAATCTGCCATTTGCCTTGCTTACAGTATAATAAAGATTATCCAAGCCCTTCTTTCATAGATATGTCAAGGCTTTTAATTACTATAGCTCAGGAAGTAGCTCTTTCCACGGGCTTTTTCCATTTTGCTTTGGATTAATATGGTTCCTTCTTCTCTTTTTGCACATTAAATTCCAAAAGGAGGATGTAGGGTCTGATTTTGGTGGATGTGATCTTCCCTTACAAATAAATTCTTTGGCTATACCAACAGCACTTTGGTTGTTGTAGAAGGCAGTGCTTGATGGGTATTTCAGATGTTGGTACAAAAAACTCAGGAAATTCTGCACAGAAGTTGTTGGGTTTTTAGTTTTGGTATAGGCAGGCTGAGGATAAATTTAAGGTAAATTCTTTTTGTGTCTTTCCTTGATGCCATACAAGAACGCTCCAGTGAGAAGGGTTGAGACTTGGAAGCCACCTTTGTACCAACGTGCCACTTTGCTTTCCAAATTTACATCTTCCCTTGATTTTGAATATTGTGTCACAAATATTGTGTCACATGGAGACATTTTCCTCATCCTTGGAGGACAGTGGTGCAAAATCACAGGTTGGTTTCACTGTTGTTTTCTAAACTGCAACAAATCACCCTGAAACTCTCCCAAAGAAGCTCCTCTGACAAGGAGGAAATTTCAACCCATTCCACTCAAAACTGAAATCATTGCTAGAACAGCAAACATTCATGTTTCTTGTGGGGTTGTGTTTTTTACAGATTTCCTGTGAGCTTCCCAGATGTGTTAGAGGTTCTCCAGGATAAACCAGGAATAATCAGACACAAATTCTCCTTGTCCTTTCCACCCATCACATGTAATTCTGTGGCTCCCACTGGCCCCATCCCAAATTATCTTTTTGCCCCATCCTTTGATATTTCTGAAGGCTCCACATATATTGGGTGATTGGATTTTAAAATCTGCATTTTCATCAGCAGGAACTGGTACTTCCAGACTGGTACCAAAGAGAATATTGTGACTGAACATCAGCTCTGCAAAACAAAAGGAGGTTGGCTGCAGTTTGATTTATGTGGAGAGACTCAGGCAAATTCTGCACCAGCCACAACATTCATTATGCAAAGGTACTTTTGAGTAAAAAACAGGTTTTACAGCATTAAAATAATGTCCCTGTTATAGTCAAAACTGATGCACAATTAAGATTAACCCTTTTGTTTGTAAGAGGATTTCGCTTTCATTTCAATGTTCATAAGCTTCTTACTATAAAAGTAAAGCTTTTATTTTTATGTATGCAATTGTTTTTCCTTTTCACCTGTAAATAGAGTAATTGCACTTTTTTATGATTTTCCAGTATTAGATTAGTTTTATAGCATGTTCTGAAATTTCATTCTCTTTCAGCATCAATCTTTGTTTTGTTTTTATTACAGAATTATACTTACAAATAACATCATTTCAAAACAATAAACATAAAAATACAATGCAATATAGCAGTTACAGCTTTATAGAGTAAACATTTCATTTGGAAGAAAATTCCACTCTCACACTATTATTTCACAAAAGCAGCAAGGTCAGAAACTCTGAGGGTTAATAACAAAGCTGTTTATATCCTAAAATGAGGGGACAAATATTCAGAGGTCAATGACTACACCTGTGAGAAAACACAGAAATAGAGTTTCTTGTCCACAGCTTAATTTTTTTGAAGAAGGGGTCTTGGAAAAAAAAACTTGATTTTCAATTTGGAGTTAGTGTACAAGGTAGGGTAAATTGTATCAAAGCCAAATGATATTCCACAAAATTAAATTTCTTTCACCTGACGTTGCTCAGTGCCAGGTATTTCAGGAGAATTAAAAATTTTCCATGCTACTTTTGCAGACTAAGCACACTCTGGATAGTGCAGAAGGATGGCAAATATGAAGTCAGAAGATTAGTGCAAGGCAGGAGTTGCTTAAGCACAATGTATTTTTCTTAGAAGAATTTTCCAAGGTGCTGAATGGAAATAGGTGTGAAAAGAAGAAATACCAGTCAGGAGATTTGGAGTAGGGAAGAATTTTGCCTTAGATGAGGATCCCTCTTGATCTGATCACTTGCCAAATTCCCTCTTCTCTAAATACAGATTTGCTCATTTAAAACACTGTCCTGGACCAGCATCTTTTCCTAGTTTTCTTTTACAGTAGCTGTAATAATAAACTAGAAATATTTTTTGAATTATATCCATGTTAAATAGAAACTTTACAATTAGAAAGATCTTCTGGACTGAGTCCAATTTTCTGATAGCTATATGTTATTTTGATTTTGTCACTTTGCAATGCAAAAATGTACTGAAATTTACACTGAAGAATTAGAGATTTCTTTTAGAATTACATTAATCTTAATTGAGGAGTTCTGTCTCATGATACAGTGCAAGTTTTTTCCCACATGGATTGGCTCCCTCTCAGGTCCCTGGCATATCCTGTAAATTTTTTATCTCTAGTGATAAGCTAAAGCTCTTCCATTTTCCTAAGGTAAAGTTTCATTTTTCAAAGATTCTTCTTTAGAAACCCAGGATCTGTTTGCAATCCTCTGAAGTCAGAGATTTTTCTTAGATTTACTTTAATTCTTCATCTTTAAGTCATAGTTGCTAAAGAAATGCTATGCAAAATGAAACAAGGTGAATTTTCCTTGCATTGTTTTTTGCAAAGTACTGTTTGTTGTCTCTTATTTCCTTACTTCCAGTATTTGCAGGAAATGTCTTTAATTATGGACCACAGATTCCAATTCCCTTTTCCTGCTCATTTCTAGTCAATACATGTGATTGACAGTGTCAGTGTTGCAGCACTTTGTCCTTTTTCTGTCCTCCAAGTCACCAATACTTGCCCTGAGACCCTGTGAGCAGTTTTCCAGCTGGCAGATGATCAGCTCCTGCTAATTTGAAAGGGTCTGTTTTACTCAGTGCTTCCTGACCTCTTATTTTCCATTCTAGGGTGAGATTTTACCTCTTTCTTTTATATTTGTGGCAGTCCCTCCCTGCCTGGCCACGCAGTGAGGATGGGTGCACAAGGCTGAAGGTTTCAGCCCATAATTGTCATTTGTTGGTGATGCCATGAATATGGAACTGCTGAGCCAGTGTTCCCTGTGGCCTGCTCAAGCACAACTTATTTTTTTGCTCCAATAACTTCAGTGTATCTTGCTACTTGCCACTGTGTCCTTCTGAGAGTAATCCCACCTTATTGCAGGACCTGCATTCTGTGTGCTTCCCTCTGTGACAATGACATCAGCAAGTATTTCACATTTGGAGCGCTCATCATTTGATCTACCTGCTCAAAATCAACAGATTTCACTTTGCTGGGTTTCTTTTTTAAGTTTCTGAGCTTTCTCATCCCACTCCACTTGCTTTGTATCCAAATTCAACAAGCTTCTTCCTACAAATATAAAGAATATTTTTTGTAGTACCTCCTTCAGTTGCAAAAGTTGTCATTGATGCTTTCTTTATAAGAATTTGCAGGCCAATTTGTGTTTTATTTCCTTTACAAACAATAAAATCTTCCTGTCTCAGCAAACTGTTTTTTAGTGATTCTACCAGTGTCTCACAAAAACCCCAAAAAGCCTCACCCAACCTAATTTTCTTGCTCTGGTATTCTGTAATAGATAGTTATCATGATAAATGCACATGTTCTTTATCCTTGTATGTAATCTTGCTCTTTGCATTGCTGATCTTGAAGTAAATATATAAAGTGTTGTCTTATAACAGAGACAAATGATGGGAGAGAAGAGGCAGAGCCCTGGAGTGCCATCCTTCAAAGTCCATCTCGTGGAGGCCTAATTCAGCTGGAGGAGCAGAGAGGGCAACCTTGTAATATTTGCCCTTTGCAATGCTATCTTTCAGAGGTGACCTTTAAGCTAACTTGGGAGTCTGACAAGCTGGGGCCTCAGCACAAGATCCTTCTCTCTGTCAGCCCCTCACAGCTGCAATCCCCTCTGCCTTTGTTCAAAACAGTCCCTCCTTCTGATTTCATCTCCCTGGCTTCATAACTTCTACAACTTCTCCTAAAATACAATTAGCAGGCTGTTCCCTTCTCTTCCAGGTGCTTCTCTGAGTTTATGGTTCTGTTGTGTTCTCTACAGACCTTATTCCTTCTAGGTTAGATTTCTTGTCTCCAGTAGCAAAACCTTTCAAGGACATTGCAGAACTCTGGGGAGATTCACGGTCCCACAGCACTGCACACTCATTTTGGAACTTGAGCAAAAGTAAAGCATGAAGTTAATCAGGAAAGAGCCCCAACACTCTTGTGACCTGGCAGAAGTGAAATATCCATGTGGCAGCATACAAAATTAGGGAAAACTTTATGAAATGCTGTGGATGCTTTCCAAGAACAGAGGAGTCCCCACTCGTCTGGATCACCAAATCAGCCATTGCCATCTCTAGCTGTGACCATTGTCCAGGTGTGCTTGTCAGGCTGTGACAAATGCAGGTGTGTCTAAAAGCAGCTTTTAGGAATTCAGGGATCCATTTCCATAGCTTTTGGAGTGCTGAACCAAAGCTCTCCATTTAATAAACAAGCTACAGAAGTTAGAAGGCAGATTCTTACAAATGCAGCTGAAAATTCAGTAAAACTTTTGGTAAGAGACCAGATTTGTATCGCAAACTTTGGGAGTTATTTTTAGTTTCTTTAAAAATATTCTTTTAAAATTCTTTTCAGGGTCCACACTTCTCCTAAGGGCTACTTCACTGACAATTCCTCCTGCTGAGGAATCCTGCTGGAGCTCCCACCTTCACCCCTGGTGACACTTCCAAGGTCCCTCAGGCTGTGTTTTCTGGGACACCACACATTTCCCCACAACTCCTGCAGCCAGGGCCCTTCTCCCACCCCATTTCCCTCCACTGAGCAAAAGCCTTGACCTGAGATGGAATTTTGGCCTGGAATTTTGGCCTGGAATTTCAGCGTTTTTCCAGTGTATTACCTGTCAGCTCTTTGTCCCTGGTTAGCCAGGCAGCAAATGGAACCCCACTGCTATCTCTGCACTTCTCCATTTTCTGGACTGAATTGTGTTCTTTGCCTTGTCAGTGGTTTGGGGTTTTTATCTCTACAATTGTTTCCTTGGTTGACTCCAACGTGTTTGTTTTTCTAAATGATAGCCAACCCCTATTTTGGTGTAGCTCCATATTACTTCATCAATCACTTCAAGGGGACGTTGACACAGTGTTAGGTTCTTTTGAGTAAAACAAGGCTGGTTTTATTATTTTGTTGTGTATTATTTTCCACTATTCCCATTGGACTGGGAAAATTGAGTTTTCATAGGCCTAATCTTCTCAGCTAATGTTATGAGCTAAAGCTAAGTAGCATTTGTTGGAAAACAAGAGGTTCATTTTGTGCTCAACTCATTCTTTTGTTTGGTAGAGATGTAACAGATAATGTGCAGGAATTCAAACCAGGTTTTTTTATCCATTGTATGGCTCAAGTTCTGTTTAGATGGCTGCTATTTTACTGGTTGCTATTTATATTTCAAAAATTGCAAATATTATGTTTATTTTTTAAAAAGAATTTTTTTTTACTCATTATCTATAGTTGAAATAATGTCATCTAATGCAAAGGACTAATTTGTAAGAGTTGTGCAGGATGATCTGAAGGGAACAGACAACAGGAAAGAGAAACAGAATTTACAGGAGATCCAAACAGAAAAATCCCTCAGGTTTGGCCAGAAAAAGGCCTGTAACCATCAGATAAGAATTAATTTGTTAGATGGATTAAAGGCCGTGTGAAGGGTGAAAGGGAAATGGGTAAGATGGAATCCAAAGTCTTTTCTCTGCTGGAGAAGAACAGCAAGTTTAGCAAACTAAGAAAGAACTGGTGGGGTTGTAATTAGTAGCATGAGCAGTATTTTGGGGAAAGGAGAAAAATGTATGAGTGGTTTCTGTTCTGGGAAGGAAGGAAGGAAGGAAAGCTGCCAGAGGAGAGGGTTGCTGGGTGTGAGAGACCGTGGATGGAGGCTGGGGAAAAGTGACACATTCACAGGGACTGTGGGATCTGCAGGAAAGCAGAACACATAAAATCGGGTGCTGTTCCCCAAAATTGTCTGTTTTGCAGAGAATCTGAAGTGCTGAGGGGTTTGTGTAACAGATCTATGCAGGAGAGAAATGGGACAGGAT